TGTGCAAAAATAGAAGCAATTTCCAATAATGAGCTATACAATAATGATGTGATATAAAACTAATATAAAAATTCGAGAATCTTTATAACTGTATCGAGAACAGAATGTAAATAATTTTTAATGGCTTGAAGACAGACGTTCTTTCTTAATGTTGACGTGATATCATTCGATCAGTACTTATAAAAAAAAGGATATTTTGTAATTTTTCTAGTAACATTGTACTATTAAATAATACAGATTAAAGAGACTGAAATTACAAGTACAATATTTTTTTTTTTCTTTTTTGATTCTCGAAATATAATCTTATATTTCTTGTATTACTATTATACATCACTTGTTTCATAAAGATACCGCCAAAAAATTAGGTTAACCACCGTGTAAATATAACATAGTTAAGTTGAATGAAGAATTACATAGAAAAATATTCGACACATAAACCAATACAATTTAAATAATAATTAGAATAAACAGATTTATACAATTACGTCCCTGTCTAAACAGAAGCCAATATTGTGACGAAAATATCCGTAAAAAATTTCTAGCAATTGTAAAAAAAAGAACACTTTATCAATAAAAATAAATATGCGAAAAAAAAAGAATGAAGTTTCACTTGTATGTTTGCCTACGAAGAGTCAACGATATGTGTAATGTACGAACAGTATAATCTATTAATAAATATTAATACTTCATAGATAACAGTAAGATAAAGTCACGAAAATTTTCAATTTCTTTTTCAAACAGAATCACTTCTTTTTTGTATTTTCAATACTGGGATATTCTTGTAGCAAAATGAAGAATAAAAATAATAAAGACATATATGTAGATGACTGAAAATATTGAACAGTATTTTTTCTCTCGAATAATTCAACAGGTAAAGAGATATGTTCCTGTACAATGATAATTCTGATTTTTGAGAGATTTTTGTTGTATCAATAAAATGAATAAACAAATTAGAACTTATCTCATCTTAATTAAATCGTATCTTATTAGTTTTCTATTATTGTTAGACATCATTCTTTAATAATCATTTCTTCGTTTAATATTTCATGAAAATCCATTCCAACTCCATTTATATTAGAATGTACTCAACTAAATTTACTTAACTAAATTAAAATAAATTCATTTATCTAACATGAATAAAAAATATCACAAGTGGTAGGTAAAATCAAAGAATTCCTATTATACAAATAAGTTCAGCTATGTGAATTATTTCTCACTTTCTGACGAAGTGTTCTACTAGATGACAGTAATTCTATGTGTAAAAATAAACTGAAAATATAGAATAAAATTTTCAAGAAAAAACCGACTTTAAATATTTCTTAAGTTGCCAATTTTTTTATTAAGTTGGTAATCATTAATTAATTAGGAGAGAAGCAAATAAACGGCAGGAAATTATTTCATATGGGAAAATAAATGAAAAATGTAGAATACAATTTTTTCATAAGATTGTTTCCTTTCAAAAATTTATCAAACACATGTGTAAGATTTTTTACATTTTTCTTGAAAACGAAGCCTTAAACAAGAAAATTTTACTCTACATTTTTCGTTTATTTTTACGTTGAACATCCTTATTTGCTCCTGTCTAGTATACAGAATCAGCCAAATTCAAGTACCCCCCTAATTCAAGTGAACCCCTCTAATATCAGTTCCAAGAAACGGTTTGACTTTCAAGTTAAACTTGTGCCTATTTATATAAAACACCTCATCTATTTAAAGATTACAATTACGGAGAAACATTAATTTTAAGTTGAACAACTTGAATAACGAATAAAAGAATAATAAACTTTGTATATCATGCCTGATTCTGCTGACGCGACTCCCTGTTATGTCCAAAGCATAAATCTTCAAATTTATGTTTGAATTTTCTTAAACTTGTTCTCAAATTGCTCAACATCAAACCATTGGAAGATCCACTGTATATTTGTGTTCAAACTGAAATGTTCAAACTCGATTCACTTGAAGGCTGTAGTTAATGATAAAAAATATTATCCTTACTATTTGGCTTATTTTTTCATGTAGAGACTGGAACATACTGTATGTCATATCACTGACTGATTACTATAGGATCTTTTGTCTACGTGAAACCACGATAGAATGGAGTTGCTGGTGCCAGCAGTTTCGGACGTTGTGTTCAAGTACACATGGTCCGTTCCAAACTACAGGAAGACTATTTCAAAAAAAAGTCTTATCGATAGTCCGTCATTTGATGTCAATGTGAATGGTATTCACAGCACGTGGAATTTGTCCATCAGATTTTGGAAGAAACCTGATGGTAAGAAGAACGATATACCAATGATAAATCCATCATTCCTAAATTAAGTCATCTTTCTTTCGATAACATCTTGCACTTGCAATTGAAATGTTTACCTCGTAAAATATGGATAAATTAAATTATCGACTTGAAATAATGTAACTTGAGTTGTAAGAGAATTTGTTTAAGGGAGCCAGAGAACTTTTGTAATTTGTCACTTAAGAAATGTAGTGACTCGGCCAAAATTCTATTATTTTCTTTTTTTTTTCTTTTAAGACCTCAGTGAGAAAGAAACGCAGAGCGTTTGTTTTTAATTTCATCGTGACGTTTCAGAAATTCATCGTGTGCATTCTTCTATTCCCATTTCTCTTCGCTCTGTTCTCGAAATCATCGATATTGGCTTTATTATTAAAAGAAAGAATGGTCCACTGTTTGGTAACAGGCAAAAGAATGATAAACCCGGTGGTATTGTGCCTGAACATGTTGAACTGCACCGTAGATGAAGCGGAACAAGCGAAGATACGATTTCAATTTGCAGTTTTCAATGCCGACGTTAAACACTGGGAATACTGTCACGTTAGCAGGACAATACTTGAGCTGAAATCATACACGGACATTATTTCCTTGGGCTACAGGGACTTGTCCATCGTCGAGAGGCATTTAAAGAAGAACGGCGAGGTGGTGTTAATGGTTAAGATACAGATAATCCAATATGAAAGCGAGAAACACAACTTGTCGCAAGTAAGTACTCTCAGTAGATATAGAGTTGCGGTCAAAAGTTATATACTTAAATTCCACACAAAAGGATAAAGATTCTCCTTGCTGCAACAATAATCGAATTCGAATAAATTGAGTTCACAGTGTCTGGTAATTGTTTTAGTGGATATATATGTGCAAATATTCCATCAAAAGGAACCTTGTTATCTTAGAATATTATATATGTAACATAGACTCTTATTTGAGATCATCATGTAAATTTGTCTAATAAACAAGAGATTATTCCCTATGCAAAAATAGCAATGAATGCAACATCTTTTTGAATATGTTTAAATGGTTATATATTTATAAAAAAATTTATTTCATGTTTTTAAAGACCTCTGTCGATTATTCATATCTATTTAGTTTACAATTTATCAAGTTTAAATCTGCTTAATAAATTTCCAATTTTTCCAAATTTTCTCGATTCTTCCCAAAGCTAAGTTTCCAATGAACAAATTCCATTCTACAAAAACCTTTTCATTTCTTTTATGAGGAATCACTTTATGACCATTTGTATATAACTTTTGGTCGCATTCTGTATAGCAAAACCTTGTTTAAACAGCATAATAGAAACACTTTAAACAGCGTTAATGAAAGACCTGAGTGACATATTCTCTTTATGATAATAATCGATTTTATTTTACTAAATTTACTAAAAGAATTTTAAAAAAGAAGATCAAGCAATAAATTAACGTGTTCCAGGATATGGCCAGATTATTAAAGCATTCATATGGTGCGGACACGAAATTAACTTGCGCAGGTTTGAACAACATGGAAATTCCAGTTCATAGCAGCGTATTAGCTGCTCGAAGCAACGTTTTGGCTGAGATGATACTGCCTTTAAGAGATCTCGACGAGAAAAAGAACTCAAGACCAGATATCGCAGAAGATAAAATAGCAGATATACAAGAATTGCAAGAAAATATAATGGATAAAGGAAACAAACGTTCCAATGTACGTGTTAGAAGTTACTCTGTGCCAGTATCACAGAATGTTCGAATTAACTTGTTTTAAATTGTACAAACGACATAATTAATCTATATTTTAATAACATATCTATTGATATGTCTTAACATAAATATTAAGATATTAATAATAGTCTTAAGTTTGAATAGTAGAAGAAAGTAGATATTAATATCTTAATATTTATGTTAAGACTTATCAATTTAAACTTAAGAATATTATAATAAATTATAAATATTATAATATTAAATATTAAATTATATAATATTAAATTATAAATATTATAATAAATTTTAAGTTTAAATTGATAAGTCTTAACATAAATATTAAGATATTAATATCTACTTTCTTGTAAAAATCAGTATTTGAAAGTATTATGATTTATACATAAAACTTCAGTGTGTTTATTGTAGCTGATAGATTATTATTTTTCAACAATGAATACCACAATTTATTTGTTCTATGCTTACTAACTTTTTCGTGTGACACAATAGTCTTCGTATAATAGAAATAACTTCTAACTGAGTTCGCTACTTTCACGAGTAAGTATCGTATTATTTGGTATTATACTTATCCAATACTTCCATTTTTTAACGATATTTTGTATCAAAATGTTTTAGAATCGGTATATGTTTTCCCTGGAATTGCTGGATCTGAGTAAAGAAATGACCGAAGAATTATTGCGATATATATATAGTGATCACATTGATAATTTAGATAATTTCGCTCCGCAACTTTTACCTTTGGCTGAACGCTTTTGTCTACAGGGTATTATATATTACAATATCGAGGAATTGATCTTGTTAGAAATCTAACTAACAATGCTGTTATGTATCACACTCTTTTTTAGGATTAAAGGAGCTCTGCGAACGAAATCTTATCGAAACGATAACTCCGGAAAATATAGCGAGCAGACTTTTAATTGCGGACGAGTTTCGCTGCGATGCACTTAAAAGAGTAAGTTTAGCATATTGTGAGGAAAATATAACGATACTTAACAAAAGTTTGGCGTGGAAAATGATGGAGCGAGTGAACCCTGAATTGTTTAATGAAGTTTGTGAAGCTGGTATTGGCAGTTCAAGATCAAGTAACATGGATGATAGTGAATTAAGCAATTGATACCTTTTAGATACAAGCAACTTAATTAGTTGTGAGTTGCTACAAATTTCAATATTAGATAGTTTTAATTTTCAAAAAGATATGACTCGGATTTTATAGAAAATTTCATCACTTATAAAATACTGTTGAAAATGTATATTTCCAACGAATAACTTTAATAAAGAACATTTTTATAGATCTTAATATAAATTTAGTATATTTTTATACTTAGCTCTATTAACTTAATTGAAAATTAACTTACGGTGGTTTAATATTGGCCATTGAACACTCGACCGCTTGTAATCTTAAGCGTAGAAAGTCAGTTCGAAGTTCCAATACGGAATCAAGATTAACTACTTCACGGTCCCCATAATCCACAAAAAAAATTTCACACTGATCATTTTCAGGTGTAGAAATAATTTCAGCTCTGTACCATTGCTTATTAAAACTGAATCTTGCTGCTACCATTTGACCAATTGTTATCTGAGAAGTTAAAATAATACAAAGATATTTTTTAAATATCTACCCTTGTAACTACATGTCAAAGTATATTCAATTGTTCAATTGAAGTATTTACATTTTTCAACTTATGTATTTCATAATTTTCTTCATCATCATAGTAGGTAGTCATTTCAGACACTAATTTATCTAATGCTGTAGTTCCAGGACCAACAATTTGAACCCAAAACTGACTAGGATTTTCCATTGCTGACACATATACTTCCATCAAACCATCAGAAACTAAAAAGAAAAACATAAAATATATAAAACATCGTAATATCATAAATGAGGATATTATTTATATTTCATGTACCTAGTAAAGATTCAGTGCTCTGAACTTGTTCAGATGTATTAACAGTGTTACGAGGAGATAATTTTCCTCTAGGCAATCTTGTAGCAGAAGAAGCTTCTATCTTTGCACGTGCTTCCTTTTGTTCGCGAATTTTATCTTGAATTTGTGCCAAAGCTGCAGTAATTTGTTTAGCTGTTCCTTTTATAACAATTTTTCTCTCACCATCTGTAAAATATTAGCTATTAAAATTTGGAAAAAAAAATAAAACCAAATATAAAACATAATAATACAAATTTATACAAAATAAATATACTTGGATCATATGGACCACAGACGTGTTCAATTACGATTTTTGCACCAGAGATTGCTTGCATTTGTTGTACAATTTCACCGCCTTTCCCTATTATTCTCCCACATGCTTTCTGTGGAATAAACATTTCATATGTTTCAATTATAGGCTGATTTTGAATTACAGACTTTATCATTTCTTCAGCTAAATGTACAGTTTCGTAGCTTCCTTTTATAATGCAAATACGATCAGCACATTCAAAGTTCTCTTCTTTGAAATGAATCTGTGTTCCTGTTTTATTTTGTATATCTTTTATCATTGAACCACTCCTTCCAATAATAGCAGGTACAAATTGTTTAGGTACTTTATATTCTATTGTATAGCCTTTTGAAATTTCAACATGATTTTTTCTAGATTTAATATCTTCTTCGTCCTATTAAATTAAAAAAATGATTGAAATAAAATAACAATACTTAAATTTGTAATAATTTTTCAACTTACCTTTTTGTACAATACGTATAATACAGCAATACTAACACTTGTTAAAGATAAACCAAGTAAAATTGGTAATGTAAAATATCGTGTCATCCACCTCATTTTATATTTTAGTATTTAAATCCACTATTTCTTTTGTATCTTTTATTTCCGCATAAATAAATTTAGGCTTAAATGTGGACCATGCTTTTAGAATTGTTATGAATGTGATGTTTCATAACCTCTTTTATGAATATGAAAAAGATTCATGGCGCGAGTTACAAAATAAAATAGAGAATGTTGACACTTCAAACGCACTATTATGATAATTTGAATAAGTTTCTATCAATCTATTTCGCTTGCTAATAAATTGTTTCTGGACTCGAATTGAAACTTATATTTTTAAAACGTATCATTGCCAACAGTGAAATTAAAATATTTTAGGGAATCACATATTTATTAGAAAAATACGTGCAAGAATTATCTGTACAATATTTCCAATTTATGTAATTTATGTATAATATTTACTAAATGTTTACTATACTCATTATAAAAGAAAACTATTAAGAAATATTTTTAAAATTAAGTGCAATTATAAATTATATTAATCTTTTTCTGTTATATTGGTATCAGTATGAAAGAGGTCATGACGTCGACACTAAGATTAGATTATGACGGATGATTTAAATGTATCTTTTACGTTAGGAATGAGTACAATGACATAATTATTGATAAATTATCAATAATAATACGACTATTGTAGATTATCAAAATCAATGAATAAATAACTTTCATCAGTTAATCAATTAGTAAAGAACTTTTTATTAATATAATTGCTATTACAAGATATTATAGCAATATTTATTAATGTATAGAGAGTTTATATTTTTTATATGATTAGGAAAATTACACTATTGATGTAATTACAAAAATTCATAGTCTTTTCACAAGTTTCATACTTGATTGTTATAAATAGCTAATGTTAAGGAAATAAGTGGTTTGTATAGTCTATCAAACAGGATACCGTGGTTAATATTTCAAGATAATTCTGTTTACTACACACATTTGAATATTTTCTGTTTACTACATACATTTGAATATTTAAAATGCATGTAATATTTATAATACAATATTTTTAAAATGCAATATTTTTTTCTTTTTTCTTTAATAATTTTATTCATATATATTAGTACATTGCAATTGAATTAATATAGTTAGTTAATATAACATAGTTGCATAGTGAGAATATTACACATGCATACAGAACAATCTGTACTCACGTGTGAAATAATATATATATATCAATGATGTAATACTCCTTCCCCTGATACTTCACCTGTTAGAATCACTAAAGGAGTTACTTGATTAATAATACACATATGTACTTAAGTATGTACTTAATTAATTTTATAAAACAGATAAAGATTTTATATAACGTTATTTAAATAAAGATTTTTATCTAAATAGATTACCTATCTTAACATTATCTATGAAATGACTTTTAACGAACCGCCGATGGATAAGACAAGCGAGAATCTCTACAATTGCAACAAAATGATGAAATACTTTCTATGTGAGTATTTATTAATATGTCCAACTGTTATATATACATCAATTCTAATTTATTATTTAAAACATTAATTTCACTATATATTTTATTAGAATTATTTGTTATATATTGTATGATAGAAGTTATTTGTAGTAACTAAAACTTATTATTAATGAAGAATATATAAAGATAAGAATGTATGCATGCATTATATTCTCTCTCATATACGATTGTAAAATTGTAATTTTACTATCTTAAAGTACTAATTATTACATCTTTTATTATCATTCTATTAACGTGTAATCACACTATAGAACAAAATAGCTTTCATAATTGATAGACACGCACTAACTTATCTATCATTTGCAGAAAGTAGCGTCTCCAATGAATAGGGAAGCATATGATACAAGAAGTTTCCAGTAAATAGTCGCGCCATATTTTGATTCATACTACTATTTCCATGTGTATTAATACCATGAAAATATAATTATACGTTCGATGAATGAATTCTTTCTCTATAAAATACATCTCTCATGTATATATATTTTAATATCCTTTTATTGAATTACTACATCTCAATGTATAATGATCTAAATTCTTATTTTTGTATATGTTAGATAAATCATTATTCCAATCATTATTGTTAAATAATTTTATTCAATTCTCTTAATTGAGTTTCTTTTCTTTATATATATTTATCTAAGAGATATATTTCAATAAGTTATAAATACATTCAACGGTAATTTTATCGTAAAAAAAAAAATTTTATCACAAGAAACAAAAATACATCCTGTTTCCTGCATGCAGTTTTTGTTTTTCGATTGAATTGCGCTTGCGCAAGAATTAAGATTATGTTATATAACATGAGAAGTGTTACTACTTATTATCAGTTTACAAAGTGTTTGGCATTGTGGACAAAACTCCAGGAAAGAACAATGAAATCACGTGTGTTAATTACGAGCAACGATGTACCATCAGCTGGTATAGATCTTTTGCGGACAAAGTGAGTACATTTTTTGAAAAAGATCATTTACTAATGTTCAATTATTTGTAATAATTTTAAAAAAAATTTTAAAAGTAAAGTTAAATGAAAACTGATCAATGTGACGTTATCATTATTTAATTATCATTATGTAATATTACAATTATTTATAATGTAATTTTATGCAACAATTAAAATTATAATAATTATTGATTCTGAATTAATGATTAATATTGATTCTGAATGTTTAGTGATTCTTATGATGTAACGTGATATGTAACTCGGAATTTAATTTTTTTGTAACAGATGCGATGTCACAATCATTCAAACGACTAATCCTAGTGAAGAAGATGTATTGCAAGTTCTTCCTGGTCATGATGCAATCTTTGTCACTAATCATTTAAATATAAATAGCGATTTTCTTAATAATGCAGGTAAATATTGAATTATCAATGATATGATGAATTATGTTCTTACGGAATTTCGAAATAAGTGATAACAACGTTAATCAATTCAGACTTTAAAACTTAAAATTTAATTAATTAATTATTCTATTAAATATAATAGAAGAAACAATTCATTCATAATCACAAGTATAATCTAACTCTAGATTTCAGATTTATTATTAATATTTTTTTCTTTTTTTTGTTGAAAAAATCAGTTTACATGAATAACGATATTATATCAAATATTATATCACAGATGATTGTATTTTCTTAACTTCAAAACTCTTTTATAAACGAAACTTAAAGAAACATTAAGAAATAACATTTTAATATAAATAGGAACGTCTTTAAAAGTCGTCTCAACAATGTCAGCTGGTTATGATCATTTGGATGTGCCCGAAATTAAAAGAAGAGGTATTAAAGTTGGTCATACTCCTATGGTTTTATCAGATGCAGTTGCAGAAATTGCAGTACTTCTGGCAATAAATGCAGCAAGACGAACTCACGAAGGACGTTTAAAACTTGAACAGTAATTAGAGAAATTTTATTCTGAACAATGTTTAATGTTTAATCTTGTTTTAAATATTCAATTTTACTTAAAAATTTAGAAAAAACATATTTATTAATTTTATTCATGAAAAATATATAATAATGATATCAAAAATTCTTAAAAATTTAGAGGGCAAGTGATGAAAAATTTGCAGTGGTTACTTGGTCAAGAGTTAAGAGGATCAACAGTTGGCATTGTTGGTTTGGGCAATATTGGACAAGCTATTATTAAACGACTAAAAGGATTTAGTGTGGATCGTTTTATTTATACTGGACATTCTCGTAAAAAAGCAGGTATTTACATAATATACATAAAAATAAAATTTATTTTGAAATATTTATTTTCATTTCAAATAGGTGACGAGCTTGGAGCACATTTCGTGTCTCTTGACGAACTTCTTGAACAAAGTGATTTCGTAATTGTTTCTGCCCCGTTAAATAATGAAACCAGAGGATTGTTTGATGATAATACTTTTAATAAAATGAAAAAAAACGCTGTGTTCGTAAACATCGCTCGTGGGCAAATCGTAAAGACAAATGCCTTGATCAAAGCATTACGGAATAACACAATTTTTGCGGCAGGTCTTGACGTTACAGATCCTGAACCGTTACCTCCCGATCACGAACTTCTTAAACTTCCTAATGCTGGTGAGTATTATTAATTACACAAATGTAAGGATCAAATGAATTAACATATTTTTTCTTTTTTGGATATCTTTATTAACAGAAATTTCTTTTTTTATTTTTATGTAATGTTTGTATATTAGTTAATTGTAGAAATATATAGCAAAGTTGTATGTACATTAACAAATATAAAATGTATTGTAGTGGTCATACCTCATTTAGGCAGTGCTACTGTGAAGACACGAAATGATATGTCTCTGACTGCAGCACAAAACATTCTCAATGGATTAGAGGGTAAGCCACTGTTATATGAATTGTAAAAATTAATATATTTTTCTGCATATATGAATTATAAATTTCTATCATACGATTTAAAATTATATATTTATTTGAAGTAACATAACAAAACAATGATACATTCCTAGTGTATTTAAGAATATAACTGACACATATAACATGTACTCTAATATCAACTTTTTTTTACACAAATTTATAATATTTATGTCTTTTTATATGTAAAATTTAAATATATTTTGAGAATATTGAAATGTTTCTAGTACTTTTTTTATTTATTATAAACTGTATTGTGGTACTTTTCTACCATAAAAATTTGTAATATGTGTCTTTTTGTCTTTTTACGTTTCATAAAAGATTTAAGATTTTTCTTTTTTTAAAAATAAGTATTTAAAATATTATATAAAAATGTTAACAAAAGAAAACATAATTATAAAAGAATATAACTTTTTTCTAAATGAAAAAAATATACTAATGGCTCCATTATTATAAATCATCTTAGAATAGCTTTTCAAGAATTCCCCAAATTCAATTGCAAACTGTTGTTATTTATCACCCATAATGCACAACAGGTAACCATCAGGCTTCTGCTACTGCATTTTTTAAATTACTTAAGATTGGATCTATTTTACTTTCCAAAGATAAGATATGACCTGTATTACAGTTATGACTAGCAATAAAACTAATTACTAAAGGTAATTTGTTCATTTGAACTACCTACAAAATAAATAACTAATTAGATTTATATTAGTATTTACATATGTTATTTTTATATTTATTGAAAAATAATAATAATAATAACAACATATATATTTTTATTACCTGATAACTGCTATACATGCATATAATTGTTTTATTTTTTCCTAATCCTAATTTGCTTCCTTGATCTGTTGCC